AGGTTTCCACCATCTTCTGCAGTATGCGTTTGATATTCTTGTTGGCGGCCTCGACCGCTCCGTTGGTTTGCGGTCGGTATGTAGATGACTTATGAAAAGCCACGTTGTATTTTTCCAACAAGTCTATCACTTCCTTCTTGAAGTGGGAACCATTGTCTGAGATGACCTCGTTTGGGACCCCGTAGCGACAGATGATGTTGTTTCTGATAAATTTTGCGACGTGTGACGCCTTCAACACCGCATATGATTGGGCCTCGACCCATTTTGTGAAATAATCTATCGCAACCAGGATGAACTCATGCCCATTTGACCCCTTCGGGGTGACACCCGATCACATCGATTCCCCAGACTGAAAATGGCCATGGCGAAGTCATGTTGTACAGCTTCGACGGGGGATGTTCATGCGGTTTGCATGAATCTGACACTTGTGGCATCGCCGAACGAACCTAATACAATCCTCCTCCATGGTGGACCAGTAGTAACCCTGTCTGAGGATCTTCCGTGCCAGCATTACCCGTTCCACGTGTGTCACCACATTCTCCTCCGTGGATGGCCTCCATCAGGCGCTTTGATTCTTCGGCTTCTACACACAGCTTGTGCTTCCCAGATGACCTCTCTTATACAGCTTACCCCCATTAGGCGGTGGAGCTTGGGCCATTCTTCTGATTGCCCTTTTATCCTTGGCATTTACCCCTGGCGGGTATACTTCATTTTCCAAGAAATTCCAGATATCATAATACCAGGGGTTTTCGTCTTGAACCTCATCTATAGCGGCGATCGACTCATAGGCTGGCGCAAATTTCTGGTCAATGTCGACTGGACGCATCCGGATTCCAAATGGGATGTCTATCATGGAAGATAGAGTTGCTAAAGAGTCCGCGAACCTGTTGTTCTCTCTTGGAAGATGAGCGAAGTTTAGCTTCTCAAACCGAGGGATTAGCAAATCCAAGGTCTGGTGGTACATCATCATCTTTTCTTCCTTGACTTTCCAGTCCCCGTTTGCTTGAGATACAACCAGGTTTGAATCCCCAATGACGTCCAACCGTCTTGTCCCTAGTTCTAGGGCCGCTTCTACGCCAGCAATGCACGCCTCATATTCAGCTTCGTTGTTCGAGACTTTGAATCGGAGTTTGAAGGCTAAGGGGATACGGGAATTGTCGGGTGCTATCAGCAACACTCCTATCCCATATCCGTATTGATTTGACGCTCCGTCAAAGTACATCGTCCAATATTCGTCGTCGATATGCAAAATGGCTTCATCTGGGAATGAATACTCGACTGCTTCACCTCCTTCCGCTGGATGGTCGGCCAAGAACTCTGCCACTGCTCTTCCCTTAACTGACTTGCGCGTCACATATTTCAGATCAAATTCGGAGAGCAACAGCAGCCAACGAGCTAGCCTACCCGTAAGTGCCGGTTTCTCGAAAAGGTACTTGATTGGATCCAATCGTGAAACCAACATTACGGAGTGAGCTAACAAGTAGTGCCGCAGCTTCCTGGTAGCCCATACCAGAGCTAAGCAAGCCTTCTCGAGCGGAGTGTAACGGGTCTCATAATCCAACATCTTCTTGCTCAGATAGTAGATGGCTCTTTCCACCTTATCCTCCGATTCTTGTGCGAGCATGCAGCCCATTGTGGTCTCAGTTACTGAAAGATACAATATCAACGGTTTTCCCGGTACTGGTGGTGACAACACGGGCGAGTTCTGCAAATATTCTTTGATCTGTTCGAAAGCTGCTTGACATCGGTCGTCCCACTGGAACTTCTTGCCTTTCTTCAGTAGACCAAAAAGTGGTTCACAAGTCAAGGTTAATTTTGAGATAAACCGTCTTATGAATTGCACTTTACCCAGAAAGCCTCGCACCTCCTTTTCAGTCCTTGGTGGTGGCATTTCTAAGATGGCCTTAATCTTTGAAGGGTCGACCTCGATGCCCCTTTGTGTAATCAGAAACCCCAGCATTTTCCCTGCTGTGACACCGAAAGTACATTTCTGAGGATTTAGCCGCAACCGAAATTCTCTGATCCTTTGGAAAAACTTTTGCAAGGCGGTGTAGTGGCCCTCTCTTTCCTTGGACTTGACAATCATGTCGTCCACGTACACCTCAACCTCTTTGTGGATCATGTCGTGCAATATTGTGGCTAACTCCTATCCTGAACACGATGCAAAATGCATGACATGCATGAAATGAAACTAAGATACAATCCTAACATACACAATGTCATGGAATGACATACACGCTATACGAGGTAATACACAACCGGGCATACACAATGCTATGGATGAAATGGCATACGCAATGCAATGAATGAAATGGCATACGCAATGCAATGATGGGCTTACACCAACATGAGAGAGCCTCAGCCACACTCACACAGGAGGCCATCAGATGAAAACAAGACAACTCGAAATGCGTGCACACGGGCACATAAACCGAAGACCGGCCCTCAGGCACCGAAATGCCACTCTAATGAGACATGGCAAAGACATGGAATATGATATGCAAATATGCAAAAATCAGTAGCAAAAGGAGGGGGGAAACAGCCCCGAAACATGGCGAAATGACACCCGATGCATGGGATTTCTCCCGAAATGCGAAACTAGGTACATAAAATGGCTTACAGCTATACAAAACATGCATAATTGGTACATGGAATGAAAATACAGAAGCAAGGCAACCCAAAAATAAGCACTTTTACAGTTCAAAGCATGGTCAAACAGCAAACAGAAATAGGGCAAAACTAGCATGCAAAAATGGCCCTAAACATGAGATTAAGAAGCAACTCACAGCTGCTGTCCTCAAACAGATTAGGGCCCTTCAACAAAGTTGAAGAGGGGGCCAAAACATTATCTTTTACAGTTTATGGAAAACCACAAAAATCAGCACAGATATGGCTAAACTCTCATGCAAGAAATGAGCCAAAAGATGGACAAAGGAGCAAGTGGTAGATGCAAAGCCCAAACAGAAAACGACTCTTCTATAATACTGAAGAGGGACCAAAAATAATGCATTTCACAGTTGATGGCCGGACCCAAAACAGCATGCATACAAGCCAAAAATATCATGCAAAATATGGCCAAAAAGAGAGGTATAACACAAAGTATATAGAGGATTCCTCAAACAGTGAAATACCCTCAATGAAACATAAAGAAGAGGCCAAAATAAGACTATTCTCAGCTCCGAAAATCGCCCAAAAATGGAAGCACAATAGGCTAATAAATCATGCAAAAATGGGGACCAAAAGAGAGATATAATACAAAGTGTAGAAAATATGCCTCAAACCATGAAAGACCCTCAATGAAACATGAAGAGATAGCCAAAATAAGACCTTTTCTAGCTCTGAAAATCGTCCAAAAATGGAAGCACAATAGGCTAATAAATCATGCAAAAATGGGGACCAAAGAGAGGTATAATGACAAGTGGCATATGGAGGTCCTAAACAGTGATGAGCCCTTCTTCAATGTTGAAGAGAGGCTCAAAATAAGCCTATCTACAGTTTACATCATGCTCCAAAACAGAACACATATAGGCTAAAAATATCATGCAAGAAAATGGCATTCAGGAAGGATATTGAAGCAAGTGCAAGATGGGGGGCTCAAAAAGGGTTGAGCCCTTAAGCAAAAGTGAAAAAGAGCTCAAAAGAGGGCCACTTTCAGTTAGGGCCGGAGCTCAAAACAGCAAGGAAGTATGGCTTATAAATGATACAAGAAATGGACCAAAAAGGGGGAAATGAAACTCACCCTTGAAGACAAGTCTTTGGTTGCTTCTTGGCTTGAGAAGTGATGCCTCCTAGCTACTGGAAAGCCCCTCAAGCTGCTAGAAATGGAGTAGTGGTGGTGGTGCTTGGTGGTGGTGAAGAAATGAGGTAGAACTTAGGAGTTTTCAAGGAAAATGAGAGAGATGGATGGAGATATGTATGTATATGCTTGAAGCAATTTTTCTAACCCCTAATACAAGAGATTGGCAGTGGTTATTGGACAAGGAGCAGGGGAGGAAGAGAGGAAAGATGGGGGAACAGCTGTCCCCCAGATTGAGATATTTTCTGGGGGATACAGCTATACAGCTGTAAAGTGTGTATTGCAAGGAACATGGCCGGCCACCTTTTGGAGCTGCAGGTGGCCGACCGGCCACCCCCCATGGCCGGCCGGCTAAGGGTCAAAAAGGTCAAGTTGATTTTTTGGCCGGCCACCACAAAAAGGTGTCCTCCCAGGTGCCCTCAACACAACCCTGTGGTTCAAAATTGGCAACTGTAAAACAAGAGAGGGAATGGGCCATTTTTAGGGGGGGTCAAAAGGGTCAGGTGGAATTACTGGCCAGCCACCAACTTTTAGGGTCCTCCCATGTGTGTACAACACAAATATGTGGTTCAAAGTTCAAGAAAAAGGCCCAAGGTTGTTCAACATTTGCTCGGAAGTGAGAAAAACGGGCGTCGGAGGGCGCTGGAGGAATAAAAACTGGTTGTTGAAACAATTGCTAGCCTCCCACCCTTCTACGGCCTTCCTGGTGATAAAATAGAGGTACCTGCCAAAAATGAACGAAAACCGATGCAAAACGAAAGCTCGGAGGCCAAAACGCGCAGTTCGGGGCCCCAAAAACTGCTTGTTAAACACCGAAAGTGGCATTCGGGCACGAAGTGGGTCTCTCAGACCCCAGTGTCCCTCAAAAGGGAGTAAATAAGAAGTATGCCAAAAATCAGAGCAAACGGAGATGGTTAGGCGGTCCCGAACCGAGGCACATGGCCAACGGTCCCGAAAAACCGGAAACCGGGCTCCGAAATGGGCAAAATGGCCTACGGCCACCAAATGTAGCCCACAGCATTGCCAACATATAGTATGCAAGAATCACTAAAAAAAATAAATAAAAACATAGAATACAATACGTGACAAGCTCTAGAGAGACATGAAACAGTTTTGTGGCAACAAAATACACGAAATGAGATTAAAGAAAGCCTTCACCAAGAGTTGTTCATACATCTCAATTCTATTGGTAGAAGTGTTAACATTCCACTTGAAATTCTAGTCTACTTCATAATTGGAATTTTCAATTAGGCACACCAATTTGTGTCATTACATGACAATACTACAACATCTATGTTGATAGACATCTTGTTAAAACCCACAATTATAGGGCAACTTATTTAAACAAACTTTCCTAGAAAAAAAAAAAAATTAGTAACATAGGTCAGACCTGAAAGTTAACATATATTTCATTTTCTCAGGTTCAAATTCAAGAACTTGCATCTTAATCAAGGAGATTACATACTTCTATTGCAAAAAAACTTCATAAAATTGTCCAAAAAGAAGTAGTACCAAGAGGTCATGCACATTTCAACAAGGTGAAACCAAGCTTGTCGCCAATGAGGATTTATGAACAAAACTGCAACAATCCCCAACAACACAATAATATATGAGACTAGAAAGCTGACATAGAAAACCTCCATATCTATGAAACCACCGTCTTCAATCTCTCTATCCAGGCCTTTTGACATTGTTGATGTTGGTACAGTTTTATTACAGTTGGTTTGCAAGGGAAATCCGCAGAGAAGGGGATTTCCCTCATAGCTACTTTCTTCAAAAGTTGCGAACTGAGCTTTTTGGTCTGGGGTCGCACCTGATAAGTTGTTGTATGCCACACTAAAGACTTCCAACTTGTTCAATTCAATCAATTGAGAAGGGATCTTTCCATTCAATCTATTGTAAGAGAGATCCAAACTTTCTATTTGCTTTAGTTGTGAGAATGTTGATGGGATTGATCCGAATAAATTGTTATGAGACAAGTTTAGATCACGGATATTGCTCAAGTTTCCCATTTCCAAAGGGATTTCCCCTGTTAAGTGGTTACAAGAGAGATCAACTCCAGACATGTAGTCCAAAATGTTGCCTTTATATGCATAGGATCCATGCTTTGTTGTGAACTCCACTTTTTGTTGGACATCCAAAGAGTGGAAGATAATATTTTCATATGCAATATCCATCAGATAATGGTCTTCTAGTGACTTTGACCCCTCAACAAAGTTCCACAATGAAAATGTTAAAGATTGTTGAATTCCAATTTCTAGAGAAGATTTTTCATGGGTTGTCTCAAAAGGTATTTCACGAAAACAAAGAGGTATGGGACCAGAAAAGTTATTTTCAGAAAGGTCCAATATGCTTAATTGTTTCAACTGGCATAATTGAACTGGAATTTCACCTTCAAAATTATTAAATTTTAAGAGAAGAATGCTCAACACATGAAGGCTTCCAATCCAATTGGGAATAGTACCATTTAGGCAGTTATCGCTAAGATCTAATGTCACCAAAGAAGAACTGTTGTAAAATGCATGCGTCATTGGACCGCTCAACTGGTTTTGGTTCAAGTGGGCATGTTTTACTGTCGATTGGTTGAAGCAAGACGGTACAGAACCAGACAGGTTATTATCTGAAACGTCTAAAAACTGAAGATTACTAAGTTTGCAAAACTCTACTGGAATAGGGCCTTCAAAATGATTTGAGAACATAGCAATCCCTATCAGACTGGACATGTTCCCCATCCATCTTGGAAGCTTTCCATACATGTGGTTGTTGCTAATATCAAGTGCTTCCAAAGAAGGGGGAATAGATACACTATATGGAAATTTGCCAGCGAAATGATTATTGTCCAAATATAAGTATCTCAATGTGGTTAAATTTACAAATGAAAGAGATATTTGGCCAGACAAATTATTGTTTGATAGTTTGAAGAAGAGTAAATAGGGGCAACCAATTGTCAAATCCTTTGGTATCTGTCCAGACAAATTATTGTTAGATAAGTCCAAAATCTCCAAAAAGTGCATATCACCTAAAGAAGTAGGAATGTGACCTTGAATAAGGTTTCTAGATGTTTTTAAATTCCACAAATTTGGAAAGATCGAACCTATATTTGTTGGAATTGGGCCCTCAAGAAGATTGTCGGAAATATCAATTGAACTGACATGGGGATTACGATACGATGGCAATAGGAAAGGCCCAATAAGGGAGCAATTTATTAGATCAAAAACTTCCAATCGAGTATTATTTTCTAACAACCAAACTGGGAATGTTCTGACTGAGTTGTGTGATAGATCAACTATTCTGAGGTCATATTGGTAAAAGAGAAAATGTGGAAATTTCATACCAAGATTGTTTGATCCACAGTTTGATAAACTGAGAACCTTCAGTTGGAACTTAGGAATCCATGTTTGAAACTCAATTTGATCACTCAATCTGTTGTTGTCACCTAAAAATACCTTAAGCTTTGAATGGTTGCAAAATGAAATAAATGAGACTGGGATTTCAAAATGGTTATATGAAAGGCTAAGAAATTCCAGTGTTAGGAGATTACTAAGGGAAGATGAAGTAAGATTTCCAATGAACTGATTGAAAGAGAGGTCCAATATTCGAATTGATGTTAAGTCTTCCAAACATGAGGGAAGCATTCCATTAAAACCATTCTCACTGAGATCCAACTCTTGGAGGTTAGAAAGTTCACACCAACCTGTGAAATAAAAGAAGTGATGCTTAGCTTAGACGTTTTATCTGCTTGGAGGCACATTCAAATCATAACATAATTAATCCAAGGAATATAATCAAATTGTGAATACCTTGGTTAGGTAGGCTTCCGTTAAGGCTAATATTCCGCAATGTCAGCACCCTTAGGGAGGACATTACTCCAACATTATGAAGAAAGATCTTGTCAATGGATGAATGATCCAAATACAACTCCTGTAAGTGTTTTAATCCATCCAACCCTGAAAGATGTAGCTTAAGAATTATTCATTAAAAATTATGTGCCACGAAAATATGATGATACCTTACATGAAAGTCACAAAGAATCTTCAAATATCAGATCATTGTGATAAGATGATGTATCATGTCCCAATACCTCAAATTTGAAATTTTGCGGTATTAGTTACAAGGGAAAATTACACCAATGGTTTGTGCATTTGCCTCTTGTGTCATTTTGGTCCCTACACTCTTAATTGGCTCAAATTTGACTTTCAAATTTGACAAAAAATTATCACTGAATTAGTTGAGATTAACTCATTGACGTAAGTAAGTTTGTATGTTTTCTCTTAAAATTATGACACATGTCACTTATATACGTATTTTTCATAAAAAAATGTTAAGATTTGGACTAAATTGAGATAAAGTTATAAATTCAGTGTCAAAATTGAGCCAATTAAAATTACAGAGACCAAAATGATAAAAGAATCAAAATACATGGACTACTGTTGTAATTTACCCTAGTTACAAACTATTGTGGTTATGTTAGAAAGGGGTGCACTGTAATAAAAGCCTTAATTATGAATTATTTTGGCTACATTACGACCTAATGTGGTTATGTTATATACATTAAGAAATTATGAGTTATTGTAGTTATGTAATATACATTAAGAAATGATTAACTATTTGGTGAGAAAATTTATGAATCATTGTGGTTTTGTTACAAAACATTTGTATTATAGCCTTTCCCCAACATAACAGATCTAATCAAGGTTTTAAAAAGCGGCCGCAACCGTTACGTAACGCTGTTACGTAACGGTTTTGGCGGTTACCGCCACCCGTTACGGCCGCTTTTGCAGTGTGATTGAGATTCACAGGTGTGTCGGCCGTAGCGGTCATAACGGTGCTGTAACAGCCGTAACGGCCTGTTACGTACCGTTACATAACGGTTCCAAACTGTTTCTTTTGAAAAAACACACAAAAAAAAGCTGAAAATGTGGGAAGAGGGATAGAGAGAAGAGGGAAGATAAAGAGAGAAAATAGAGGAGCAAGAGATAGAGAGAGAGAGAGAGAGAGAGAGAAGAGGGAAGCTGAAGAACATGTTATTGATTTGTTGAAACTATAAGACATATGTTATTCTATTCAGCTCCTATCACTAAACCATTTTGTTTGTGTGTGTCTATCTATATATTGTTTGAAAATAATAATAATAATAATAAGTATGGTCATTATCTATTTGGCTTGGTTAAAATATATATATATATATATATTTAGGCTCTTATTTATTCTCTTACTTTGGTCATTATTTATCTTATATATAATAGTTAGTGATTAATTTTTTGTAAAATATAAAGTCATTAATTATTAAAATAAAATGTAAAAACTCAGTTTATAGTGATTTAAAAATATGAAATATATTGGATCATACTTAAAAATTTTAAAAAATTGATCAATATTTATTTTTAACCCAATAAATATGATCATGGAAAAAAAATATACGTATCGATACGTTTTTTTCAAATTGTGCGAAAAATAAAAAAATTCACAGTTCCGGTTACTGCAACCGTTACACTACGGCCTTTACACCCCACAACCGTTACCGCGTCACCGCCACCGTTACGGCGACCGCAACCGCTTTTCAGAACCTTGCTTGTGTGCGCACAACTAGGACAGTGGTCATTAGCTTTTACAGTTCTGCTTCCATGTCATGAAGTTGCATGTTTCTTGGGTTTGTTTATAAGTTTTATTTATTTTTTTACCAAACCCAGGTAGTTTTTAAATAACAGCATAAAACTTTGAGAATTTAAAATGGGATCCAATAAATAAATTAACATGATAGGAGCCGCGTCAATTTGAATAAAATGTTTATAATTATTATTATTATTTTTTTGTATAATACTACTCTGTACAAAATCTTGAAAAATGTTGTGAACTCATTTTGTAAAGCACTGTGGACTAAGTGAATTAATGTCAATTCCAAGTAAGCTTAAGTTCTCACCATTACTAGTAACTAGTCCTTTCAATTCATTCCATCGGAGGTTCAACATCTTTAGCTTGCTTAAACTCTTCAAACCTGTTGTGTGAAAAAAACAATATTGTAAATATATGATCTTGCTTGTAAATTTTTGGCCAAAATTCATTTTATTTCTATGTGGTTTGAATTTGGAGCACTTTTCCCTCTAAACTGCAATAGTTACACTTTACCCTCTCTTGAATTTTGGACTAAATTGCAATAGTTACTTTTTCTGTTAAAATTGACAGAAGATGTAATGCACTAGTCAAATTTGAGAGTGGGCATATTTGTTTGTTGAAACTAAAGTAAAATCAAAATGCAAAAAGTCATTTTTACCCAACTTCTCCATTCATCCTTTCATCTTCATCGTCTACCTTCAAACCTAAAAAAACTCTTATTGGGGTTAGTTATATGTAGAGTTTCAATTAGTGGATATATATTATCATTGGTGTATATATGTATAGTTTTTATAATGTACTTTTAGTTTTTTTTTTTTCTTTCTTAAATGAGATTACTCTGTGTATATTTTTTAAGAAAAATTATAATTCAGTGATAGTTTTACAAAATTATTATAAATTCATAAAAAAAATTTAAGACTTTAATTATTGATGTACATAAATTTTACCATTAATTTAAAATTATTTATAAAACTTTACATTGAATAGTAATTATCCTTATTTTTTATTCATTAAAATTAATGGTGGTGGTTGGGTTGAATGCAACTGTGATAGTGATTTACGTCCATTAACAAAGAAAGATGAGGAAGATAAGGAAGTGAGTATAGTGGTCTTTTTCTATTTTTTTTGTTAATAGAGTTAATAGTGTGGTTTAGTCTAAAATCAAAAAGGAATTATTTGTCTATATTTAAATTATAAGGGGGTAAAATGTTCCGAGCTCAAACTACAATGAGGCAAAGTGAATTTTTTCCTAAATCTTTTTCAACTTGGAAAAAGAGAATACAACCCCTGAAACCTTCACCATTACCTTTTATGCTGTCTATGTGATTCTCACTCAAGTCCAGCTCCTCTAAGTTGCTCATATTATGGAATTCTAAAATGAAAAGAAAAATATTAAAAAAGAAACAAAAATTGAGTAAATCTAAAGCCCTATTGGTTTATAAATTCAGCAAGATATACCTTTATGTAATAAATTCAATCTCAATCAAGACTTACTCTTTTGGTCCTATTATGGTTTTTTGTTGAGTTTGACTATTAAGAAATTGGGTAATTATTCAATATTTTGGGAATATCATGTGATCTTGGTGCATGTGGTGTTCCTAACTAATGATATAACTAAAAATTTTACAAATGAGACAATGTTGACCTATATTTGTTAAGTAATTGGGAGATAAGGAATGACTCACCCAGTGTATTTTGGGATTTCACATTGTCAGGAGCACCACATAGAAAATGTCACATGGTACTCCGACACTACCTAATAATTTTTTTTTTTCCCCACAATTTTGTCTAAGACATGTAGCATTGCTTATATGGTGTTTCAAACCAATCATGTAGTAAAAAATTTTACAAGTGGAATATGTTGACTAATCTTTGTTAGGCAGTTAAAGATAAATAATTACTCATTTAGTGTGTATTGTGATTGTTTATTTGCCAAAAATACCACGTAAACAATATCTCCGAAAATATTTAATAATTTTTCCTAACATTGGTCATAACAAACAACGATGAAGAACATATATAAACAACCTAGGGAATCTTCAAAGGGATTGTCTACCAATCCTAGTAGGTGGTGGAACACATGGATATTGTGCACTTGTTCATGTGATTACCGACTCATTTTGATGCTAGAAAGATTGTTTCGTTGTGAACATGTGAAGTGTTTTATTATTAGAATTACCTCCTATATCAATTGATCCATTCAAATTGATACCCCGTAAGTTTAAAGTCTTGAGTGATGAGAGAACACAAAGAGATGGTACGATTCCATTATTGAATGAATTGTAGCTCAAATCAAGTAGCTCCAACTTGCCTAACACATATAGTCTTTCAAAACCTGCAAAAACCAATTTCCATTTCAAGTCACCACCATCCTCACAAACTAAAAGGAAACGCAAAATTGTTATGAAGTCCATCTTGTTTATTAAAAAACAAAAAATAAAAAATAAAATAGTTAGTTTATTTACTAAGAAACTTGGAGAGCTTCATTTGGGATAATGATATACAAACATTATTTGTGTACAAAACATGTTCTGTGAAATAATATTATAAGTATATTGCCTTTAAATCTTTTTTAGCTTGGCAAATGAGAGTACAACCTCTAAAAACTTTTGCGAAATCACTATTGTATACCTTTTATATCTTCTATTGAATTGTAACTCAAATCCAGCTTCTCTAAGTTGTTCATATTGCGGAATTCTACAATGAAAAAGAAAAGAATTGAGTGTAAATCTGATCATATTTGTTGTATGAGTCATATTAAACTTCATTGAGGGGCAAAATGAAGTTTACGTCAACAACTTCCATTTGATTATAGACTACAACTAACGGCGGGGTGAAATTGATTCAAAATCAAATAGATTAAGTATAAAATTGATATTTTAAAAGAACATGAGTTCAATTAATTTTTGAATGATAATTTAGAAGGCACAATGAAGTTTTCTCCTTACAATAGGGTTAAATTACATTTAGCATCCTTACATTTTCATCAAAATCTCACTTTAATTCATTTACTTTCAATTGTAATAGTAAGTGGCGTCTCCAAAAATTTGTAGAGATAAGGTCACCTTGCATGTTCAAGTTCCACAAATTCTAAAAACTAAAAAAAAACATTTACACTAACCAACATTTAAGCCTTGTTTGAAAACTTGACTTTTAGGTTAAAAAAAGCTAAAAGTTTTTTTTTTTTATTTAAAAAAAGTACAAAAACAAAAAAGTTAAAAAAACTGCTACAAAAGAGTCATAAGTACCAGTCAACACGTTTTTTCATTCAACTAAAAAAAGGCATTACTAAATTCATTTGACTCATTTCATCTTATAAAACAATCAAAAAAAATTAAAAATTTATTAAAAAAACCAAACCCCAAACGATGCCCTAAACTTTTCAAACTTTTTATGACTAAATTTCTCAAATTTAAGTAGAATAAACTGCAAAAATATTGTACTATTTGTCTGAACAACAAACAATATAAACTTTTACACTTACATTTGATGAGGTTTTATTTTTTAGAACTATTGCATAATAACTTCATTGTTAATAATGTCAAACACATTTTCTTGTATATATGTAATTAAAAAATTATTCATTCATTGATGTCAAACTATACAATGAGGTCCCTTAATTTTAATAAGATTAAATCATATTAAATAAAATATTAATAATTTAAATAGTTGTTCTATTAAGAGTTTCTGATAGGTTGACCGGTGATGGAACCCCATCAACCCTAAGCTAGCGTCGCCCCCGGTAATAGTCAAACCCTACATTTTTTATCAAGTGGCAATGTCACCTTTCTATCTATTTGTCATTAACGAAGTTTATAGAACTTGTCATTTGAAACCCATGTGACATTCTTCTTCTCTTTTTTTTTTCTTTTTTTTGCGTCGTTAACACTCTTACATTTTTACTAAAATCTCACTTTAGTCTTTACTTTCGCCAAAATCTCACTTTAATCCTTCAACTTTTTATTTATGCTAGCTTATTAACGATAAATGGATAAAGTGGGTGAGAATTTTTTTTTTCTTTTCTGAACAGCTAAAAAGAACTTTATTGATAAAATTTAGAGTACACTGTACAAAGATCAAAAGGAGAAGAAAGCACTAAGCATCAAAGCTAGCAATTCCATTCCAACTAGGTTGGCATCGAAAAACGAGCCCTATCACTTGCTAAGGCACAACTCCACTAGTTGGAGAGAGACCAACCAACAAAGACAAGAACAAAACCAAAAAAAGAAAACATAGAAGAGCAAAAGAAACCAAAAACCAGAGCATGGTATGAGGCTCCAATTTCTGGTCGCTCATTCACCCAACACCATTTCTACACGAAGTTAATTGTTGCAGGTTGTATATAATATCATTGATAGAGTAAGCTAGCCCTTTTGAATTGCAGGTTGTAAATAAAAGGGTAAGATTGTAATTTGATCGAAAGTATAGAGGGTTGATTGTTACAATTAAAACTGAAGGTACCAAATGGAAATTTTGGTGAAAGTACAAGGGCACTAAATATAATTTACCCTTACAATATTGAAAAGTGTTTTGAATTGACCTCCCAACTTAATTTTGTCTATATTTCTGTCTCAACTAGGGGTAAAGCATGAAAACCATAAATACACATCATCAAAAAATTAAATAAAAAAATGTAAAAGCCAACATCTCTGGGAAAGAATATTTACATTATTATGGTAAAATGCAATTTTTGTAATGACGAAAAAATAATTTGTCAACCAAAGCTTATTTTCAATGATAAATGAGATCTTCGTCAATAATTTTTCATTAATAATTTTCTTGGCGATAATTTTTTATTGTAATATATATCTATCTATTTTAATATATAAAGTGAAGGTTGTTGGTGGTATTGACAATTTTTGTCTCACAATTTTCTTTCTCAAAATACCCCTATATTTGGAGTTTTTGTAAAAAGTATGCAAAGAGAAGGATGGGCCTCACCCCATGACCTTTGGTTTAATAATGAAAGCTCGTACAATTAGTATCTTGTACGATTATTTCATCAATAAAGGTTTCTTTTGTTGATATAAAGAAAGAAAGAAAGAAAAGAATAATGTTATTTGTTTTCAAGTTACACACATTGTGTGCCGACCATATATTATGTTTGTTTAAGTTAATGGTGGAATAATGTACATGTTATGTTTTGAAAGTTTATGTTTCAAAAAATAATGACAAATTAATATTGATCAGTGTTTGCTTAATGTTAAGTTTTTGTTTATTAGTGAATTTTATGAGAGTAGTTTGTTTGATGGGTTTGTTATTATTATTTTTAAAATTTATGAAAGGTTGAATTTTTTTCAAAATGTTATATGATTTTTCTTGTAAACATATTATGTGAAACCATGGTTCCAAACCGAACCAAAACATGTTTAAATAGTTTGGTTCGGATTGGTTCTATGATTTTAATGGTTTGGTTTGATTCCAATTTTTATGGAACTACAGACAATAGATTGGTCCTAGTTTTATCCCAAACTGATCTAAATTAGACCATGCTCACCCCTACTTGATTGGCCAAATTATAACATAAGATTGAGATTATTTGTCCGTCCAACTCACATTCCGTTATTTGGATTATATTTCAATGGTCATTATATGTAACAAAATTGATGAATTTTTTTAAGCCTACAACTAATAACACGAAACATACACACAATTGAGATTATACATATTTCCATATTAATTACAAAATAAACGTAGACAAGAAAGAATTATGTATCTCACTAATTCAACTGGATAACTAATACTAATCTCATAAATTATTAATTCTCTCACTATTAATCCTATTAATCAAACACACCCTTAGAGACTAAAAAGTAACTAACCATTATTTATAAATTTGGCAAACTATATTATGTAATAGTAACCATCTCAACGTGGTTGTTGTCGAGTCCGATTATTATAAAACTGGATAATTAATAATTAATTAACAGTTTCAAAATATTATTGTGACATTGTTTATGTGATAATTTATGGGATTATCTACCACTCCTAGCATGTAGAACATACCGGCTTTGTTTGATTTGAAGAATTAATAGTGAAGAGATCAACAATTTATTGGATTAAAAAGCATCAAAGCAAACTAATCAATCCCCTTTATTGATGTATGTCACTTGCCTTGTAATTTGATTATCATTAACAAAGTTTTCTTTTGCTGATAAAAAAAAAAAATCATGGTATCAATGAATGATTGGTTATCCAACTAGATTAGTGAATTGTATGTGGTGTTACTAACTAATAATGTGATAAAAAAAATTTCACAGATGAGACAATGTTTTTTTCATTATTTATTTCTTTGATCAACAAAGAAACTTTATTGATGATTAAAATGTTGTACAAAATGATGGCTTGGTGAATTGCATCATAGCCAGCAAAGTACTCCCAACTATGCTGGTATCTCCAATTAAACCCAATCATGTGTAGACCCAGACCAAAGAAAAGGGTTGGAGAGGACCCAACCAAGGGGGGATACAATCAAGATGAAATAAAGGAAAATAAAAACCGTCTGACAAGTCATCTAGCACAGGGCCTGATCTTAGTGGCTTTAATTCCTTCAAAGAAAAGATGAAATCATTGATTAAGTAGTCAGAAATCTTAGCTGAAATCTTCACCCAAGAAGCAGTTCGAACTTTTACAAGCTCAAATGAGACAATGTTGACTTATATGTGTTAAGTAATTGGGAGATAAGGCTCTTAGAGCATCTCCAACCTAATCCTCTCACCAAGATGATGAACATAATTTTTTTTTATTCAAAAAGTAAATATAGAGTATATCACTATTCATTTAAACTCCAACCACAAACCTTCATTTTCTTCTCTAAATATTTCCCTCCATTAATTTTCCTTCCATCTATTTGTAGGACAATCTTCGCTGTATTTAAAAAGATTAAATTCTGTTGTGTACAAAACAGCAACAAGAATAAAAGAAATAGAGAAAAGGAGAGAATTTGTTTGATTACAAAAATCAAACTCGAAATAATAAATAAATAAATAAAATCACAGATTTTATTTTGTTACAAAAACAAAAATAAAATCTGATTAAATAAACAAAAAAAACCAGAATAAAAATAAACAACTTACTTGGTTAATTTATTTGAATAACTTTTCTGATCAAGTCCAGTGTTTAACACTGTGTCCTTAAGAAATTTATTTGAATAACTTTTCTGATCAAGTCCAGTGTTTAACACTGTGTCCTTAAGACAGATTCGTCCTCTCTACGGTGCTTTCAGAATTGGACGTCTATCTCCCAGGATGAAATGATCTTACCACAAACAATAGCAGCACTACAAATTGTTTGCCTTACGAACACACTAAGTGTTTACACTCTTTCTTTGGGAAATAAAATGCAGCAAGATGAATAATATAATTTGCAGAGGATGGAGTACGAAAATTGGAGTGAAATCCAAATGGGAGGCTAGTCTATTTATAGATGTAAAGGTGGCTCTTGGTTTTGAATTGAACAGGTATGAAACCTGTTAGTTTCAATTTAAACAGATTTGAATCTGTTGGGTTAATTATTCAAACAGATAAAAACGGGAAGGGCTCTGTTTGGATGAGCAATAAATCCAAAACAGTTTAATTCTGTTTGAAAACGAGAAGGGCCCTGTTTGGATGTACAGAAAATACAATAACATACGAAAACCAAATTTATTTGACCTTATTATGGATTTTTATTTTAAATAAAAAATAAATTAAACATAT